CTTGCTGATACCACCAGACATTCTAGGTATTTTTCCTTAGGCTAAGAAAAATAGCTTTGCAACTAGCATGACAGCTCATGACAGCTGCATTCCTAGGTCTGTAGACAGATGTTACCAAAGAGAACATAACTGGATTGGCACTTCTGTGTAGGAATCCTGCCCTTTCTGTAACTCTAAAGTTCTAGTAAAACTAGAAACTAAACTAAACTACAGGTCTAAAATTCTAGTAAAAGGAAGGTGAGGAGGATCAAGCTGTGATCTGGGTGTGATCATCTTGATCCCTCACCCACCTAGGACACCTAAGTAGAAGAGAGGCCCTGCATAGGAGCGAGATAGTAAGTTCCACAATCCCTATGTAGGTAATTGCTCAGGATAAAATTCAGTAGTAGCAGAAGGATAGAAAAATACCTGGAGTTTCAGACTTAGCAATCCAAATTCTTCTTCAGAGCCTTTGTGGTACTAGAGACTTTTGTATCATACGTTTTGAAAATTTTAATCTTTAAATTATTCAGTTTTAATGTTTTATTGTATTGATTGAATTGTTCACTACCCAGAGCCTTGCTGTGGAGATGGGCAATTAATAAGTTTATATACATAGCTGGCTGATGCAGTAGTCATGTGACATATCCTCATGTGGCATTGATTTGCAGTGAACTTTATAAGGAAGATGATTTTTCCATATTTCATGCAGTTTTCCCCTCCATACTAATTCTATAAATCTCCATAAGGACCACATGCTGCTACCCATATATCGCTATGCTTTTCCTCTCTTTCTCTATGAATGACCTATGCTCTTCAGCTTAGTCATTACGTCACAAAAAAGGTTTGTTGCTTTTTATCATCATTCTGCTATTTGCTACTCCCTGTTCGATGTGCACAGCATGCCTTCTCTTCCTCAGGTCATCTCCGATCATTCTGAAGCTCTAAAGTGTCAGACTCTGAAATAAGTTCTTTTGTGAGTAGGAATTAAATGCTTGGAATACATTAATCTATTTCAGAATGTGCAGATACTGATCATGCCCAGAGAAGTGCTCATTATAGCAAATAAATGTGATCACTAATAGCAATAGCATTAGGACTTATATACTGCTTTACAATGCTTTACAGCCCTCTCTAAGCGGTTTACAGAGTCAGCATATTTCTCCTAACAATCAGGGTGTTTATTTTACCGACGTTGGAAGGTTGGAAGACTGAATCAACTTTGAGCCTGTGGGACTTGAACTACCAAACTGCTGGCAATCAGCAGTCAGCATAAGTAGCCTGCAGTACTACACTCTAATCACTGCGCCACCACCATGGCTCATTAATTAATGCAGTTCTCCAGTAGAATTCATTGGTTTTCTAACATACTATAAACGGTGACATCTAGAGGTATATTTAAGGGCTCTACAACAACAAAAAACTGCTAATTTGATAAGGAACTGAATCCATGTTCTGTTCAGGTTTGAATTATTTATTGTTTTATGGAACTACATATTCAGTTTTTGGAACTACGTAAAAGAGAAAAGAAAGATGTCTAGAGTTGCTTCCTTTCCAGCAGGGAGAAAGGTCATTTGCTTGTTTAAATCCTGATTTTCTGCACACTGTAATGTTTATGATTAATTAAGAGTCTGATTCAAGACAAGAACAAAATGCTATTGGTAAGCTACTTCAGTGCAGTTTGAAAAATAGAATTATTATTGGATAATAGTATCCACGTATCCATGTATAAAAGTGGTAATTGAAGAAGCAGGATAGAAAGAATACTGATGCATTTGAGCTTCTTATTAGAGAAGGTAACTGACATAGAGCTGGACTAGGGACAGATAGATTATCCTGTCTTTATAGTTCTTAGGATCAACACCAACCTAATGGCGCCGCATAATTGCTTATTATCCATAGAGCAAAAATATCAGCATTTTTATTTTGATGGGTGAAACTTTTATGATATTCTTATTTAACTGAAAGAACTAGGTTTTAAGAATGAGTTTATCTTCTTATTTATCTATGTCATTTTTGCATCCTTTTCTTGGCTCTTCCCTTCATAATATCCATAATACTTTTGTTAGTTTTTAAAATCATGGCATACTTAGATTATATAGCAACATACTGTATCTCACTTGTTTCTCAAATTTTGATTACTTTTTCCAGATATTCTCAAGGAAAACATTTTATAAGTAATCAATATAGATATATTAAAACAACTCAAAAAACTTCCTAGCTATATTAAATTACAGGGCCTGCAGTTATGGAGCAAATGGCTTTGAAAGTTATTTAATAAAACTTCAGAAATTTGAGTTGTGGACTTTCTATACTCAGAGCTAAAATTCAGAATTCAAGGGTCACAAGAATCTCTAAATAGCCTGTTTATTTTTTATTTAATTTAAATTTTGCCTTTATTTCTAATAATAATTTGAGGTGGCAAACATATCTAACGTTCCTTCCTCCTCCTGCTTTCTTTATAACAGCAGTTCTGTGAGGTGAGTTGGACTGAGAGGGAATAACCCGCTCAAAGTCACCCACCCATCTTTCATGGCTAAAGTAGAATTTGAACTCGTCGTCTCCTGGTTTCTAGTCTGGTGCTTTAACCATTAGACCAAACTGACTCTTTGTTTGTTAAAGTGGCTGCAGTTTGCTAAGCTAAAGCCTAGTGCTTAGCTAAAGACAAAGAAGGCAGATAGCCAGAATGTGAAAGACTAGATACCTTCAAGCTATTTGCTCAAGTTTCCACTATTGAAGGGCTGCATGAGGCTACAACTAGGCTACAACTAAGATAGAATATCAGAAGATAGCCAGAATCTGCAAAGACGAAGTCAGGATAGCAAAGGCTCAGAACGAACAGAGACTTGTAACAAAAGTCAAATATCATAAAAAAGGTTTCTTCCAAGATATAAATAACAAGAAAAAAATCAAGGAAACAGTCAGTCCACTAAAGAAAGAAGACGGCAAGGAAGTAACAGGCAACAGAGAGAAAGCAGAACTGCTTAAGTCATTCTTTGCATTGGTTTCCACGCAAAAAGAAACTATAGCTCAACCCACCAAAAACATAACTGTAAAAGACAGACCAGAAATAAAAGATAAAATAAGCAAAAAAAATAGTAAGTGAACACCTGTCTGATCTTGATGAACACAAATCACCGGGGCCTGATGGATTATATCCCAGAGTTTTAAAGGAGCTGGCAGAGGTCATCTCAGAACCACTACACCATATCTTTCAAAAACCCTGGAGCACCGGGGAACTACCAGAGGACTGGAAAAGAGCAGATGTGGTTCCCATCTTCAAAAAAGGAAAAAAAACAGACCCAGGAAACTATAGACCAATCAACCTAACATCAATACCCGGGAAGATACTGGAAAAGATAATAAAAAAACAGATCTGCCAACATCTAGAAACAAGTAAAGTAATAACTAGCAGTCAGCACGGATTTGTTAAGAACAGATCATGCCAAACCAATCTTATTTCATTCTTCAACAAAGTGACTAAATTAGTAGACCAGCAAAATACTGTGGACATAATATATTTAGATTTCAGCAAGTCATTCGATAAAGTAGACCACACCTACTTCTTAGTAAGCTAGAAAAAAGTGGAATAGATAGCACCACCACTAGATGGACTCTCAACTGGCTGACAAACTGTACTCAACAAGTAGTCCTTAATGGGTCTAAGTCTACATGGAGGAAAGTAAGCAGTGAGGTGCCACAAGGTTCTGTCTTAGGCCCAGTACTCTTCAATATTTTCATTAACGACTTAGATGAGGGAATAGAAGGGGAACTTACCAAATTTGCAGATGATACTAAGCTGGCAGAAATAGCTAACACCCAAGAAGATAGGCTCAAGATCCAAATGGATCTTGACAAACTAGAACATGGCTGTATCTAATAAAATGAAATTCAATGTAGAGAAAAGTAAAGTTCTACACTTAGGCAAGAAAAACTAAAAGTACACATATAGACTGGGTGAAACCAGGCTCAGTAGCAGTAACTGTGAGAGGGATCTTGGAGTCTTAGCGGACAACCAGCTAAATATGAGCCAGCAGTGTGCAGCAGCAGCCAAAAAGCTAATGCAATCCTAAGTTGTATTAACAGAGGGATACAATCAAGATCAAGGGAGGTACTAATACCACTCTATAAAGCCTTAGTAAGACCATACCTAGAGTACTGCATCCAGTTTTGTTCACCACATTATAAAAAAGATGTTGAGACTCTAGAAAAAGTACAGATAAGGACAACCAGGATGATTAGGGGACTGGAGACTAAAACATATGAAGAACGGTTACAGGAACTGGGCCTGGCTAGTCTAGGGAAAAGAAGGACCAGGGGAGACAGGATAGCAGTCTTCCAATATTTGAGGGGCTGCCACAGAGAGGAAGGAGTTAACCTATTTTCTAAAGTTCCTGTAGGCCAGACAAGGAATAATGGATGGAAACTGAACAAGGAGAGATTTAACCTGGGAATAAGAAGAAATTTTCTGAAAGTGAGAACAATCAACCAATGGAACAGCTTGCCCTCGGAAATTGTGGGAGCGCCATCACTTGAGACCTTCAAGAAAAGATTGGACTGCCATTTGTCAGAAATGGTGTAGGGTCTCCCGCTTGGGTGGGGGGTTGGATTAGATGACCTACAAGGTCCCTTCCAAGTCTGATTATCTGTTATGATGGGGGAGAGGAGAGAAAAGAGAATAGGAAATATTTATTTCCGTATTTCTTGTATTTAGTTAGCTTTAATGAAGATAATTTTTCCTCCTTAGCTTTTCACTAGATAATTTCTGGAAGTAAGCTTGATTGAAACAGTTCATAATAATATTTTCCCTTCTTTCCTGCAACCAGCTAAGTTTTCATGTGATGGTGTCTTCATGTAGTATGTATTAAAATGGCATGTGTGTGTGTCTACACACATGTGTGCACATATTCTGGATGCCTTTCTCTAGTCTACTGTTTTCTTTTAGAATAGTAATTTGAGCAATTCTTTCAATGAAGGTCTGCCTCTTTATTCCATAACTAATGCGTGTATTTGTTCTTTAGACTGAATCTGGCTATGGATCAGAGTCAAGCTTGCGACGTCATGGCTCTATGGCATCCCTTGTTTCTGGAGCAAGTGGGTACTCTGCAACATCAACCTCTTCATTCAAGGTTAGATATGAAAAACAGTGATACTATTGAAGGAAACCTATTTTTTATACATAATGTATGTGTAAATAAACCCTGAAAATACCTTAATAATATATGTTTTATTGATGAGTTCTGTTACATTTTCTCATGTAGGCAAAAATACATGAGGTCAGAAACAATGTACCTGAATATAATTTAATGTAAAAGGAATAGAGAATGGCCTTGACGGATAGGAGAAAGAGCTTCTACCAAGGCAGAAAAGAGTCTCAAGCCCATTCCTAGTAACTCATTTGAATAAATATCTTAGAAAAACTCCTAGTTCACATAAAGATACAGGATGGGAAGAAGAAAGTACATTCAGATTTGCAAGATTTTGTAGCTAAAGCTATTACAATAAAACTATATGATTCATATGGCTTGGTTTGTTAGATTGGTCATTTATTTATTTCCTACCTTTATTATTTTTATATGTAACTCAAAGCAGTAAGCATATCTAATACTCCTTCCTCCTCCATAACAATTCAATGAGGTGGGTTGGGTAAAAAACTGGCCCAAAATTATGCAACTGGCTTTCATGCCTAAGGCTGGATTAGAATTCACAGTCTCCCAGTTTCTAGCCTGGTGCCTTTACCACTAGAGTCTAGACCCATGATGGCAAATCTATGGCACACATACCATAGGTGGCAGCCAGAGCCATTTGTGCACGCACACAAACTTCAGCCAAGTTTACCTGCACTGCACATGTGCATGCTTCCCAGCTGATTTTCAGCCTGTTTGAGGCCATTTTTGCCCTCCTGAGGAAATACTGGAAGTGCTGAAACGAGCCCACTTTCAGCCTCCCAAGGCTCCAGAGGCTTCCTTAGAGCCTCCAGGAGGGTGAAAACGGCCCCCCACAGGCTCCAGAGGCCCTCCGGAGGCTGAAAATGGGCATTTCAGTATTTCCGGAAGGGCCATTTTTCCGCCTCCCAAGGTTGCAGAGGCTTCCTTCGAGAGAGCGAAAATGGCCTCAAACAGGTCAAAAATCAGCTGGGAAGCATGCACATATGCAGTGCAGGTAAGGAGGTGGGGCAGGGGTGTTGTGCATGCATGCACAGGAAGCGGGATGCATTGCATTGTGGGTGCTGGCACACGTGCGGGCGCTTTTGTCACACCACAACAAAAAGATTCACCTTCACTGATCTAGACCAAGCTGGCTGTCTTGCAGGAATAATATATAAGCACAAGACTGAGGGGTTTGACTGGTAAGAATACTTCAATTTTTAAATAAGAATTGCCTCATGATTTAGTACTGTAGCTCTCTGAATTCCTCTGGCATTACTTTAGAGCAGGGATCACCAACTTTTTGGACCTCAGGGACCACCAAACTCATAATTTTAGATCCCAGGGGCCACTAACCAGTTCTGTGGGCGTGGCCTAATTTGTGGGTGTGGCTTGGTGGTCATGTGACTGGCTGGGCATGGCTTGTATGTAAATATTATAAATATTTATATAAATATTGAATTTTTTTATAAAAAAGAGCAACTTTTACCCAAAATCAGGCAAGGCAGGCAGGCAGATTGAGTTGCTCACAGAATCACACATTCAGAAATCTATCTATCTGCCATTGGCTAGCTCAGTCTGTTACATAAAATTTGCTTGCAAGCAAACTCATAAAATTTGCTAGCAAGCAAACTCACAAGATTAATTCACAACACACCATGTATGTAAATATTGATTTTTTTATTTAAAAAAGAGCAACTTTTACCCAAAATCAGGCAAAGCAGGCAGATTGAGTTGCTCACAGAATCATTCAGTGATTTATCTATCTGCCATCGGCTAGCTCAGTCTCTCAAATTTGCTTGTCGTGAGTCTGCACTGAATTTCCTTGCTGTGAGTCTGCACTGAATTTGCTTGCAAACAAACTTTCAGTCCTAAGGGAGGTTCGGCTGTGCTTAGCTAGAAAGCAAGAAATCCAACCATTTCCTGCTTCCTAGCTAATCTAAATCTTCTGGCACAGCAGAACAGATGTTGGTCGGAAAAAGGAAAAATTGCAACTTAGCAGACAAGTTTACAGGGTAAGGAGTAAGTGGGCGGCGAGGGTTCCCGTGGGCCATGTGGGGTGAGCAGCCTTCTGCTTCTGCGCAGCCTGGATTAATTGCTTTGGGGGGGGGCTGATCTGGGGGTGAGATTTCTCTGCAGCCCACCAAAATTTTCTCACGGCCCACTAGTGGGCCGCAGCCCACCGGTTGGCAACCGCTGCTTTAGAGCAATGCTATATAACTCTCAAATGTATGCTTTTTGTGCTGTTCATAAACAGTTATACCAACCCAAATACTTGATTGCATATGTGAAGGATATTTTAAAATGTTTATGGTCATTGAATTAATAGACAGGATACATAAAATAAATGTTCAGATAGGAACGTGATCTCAATAACTTAAATATACAAACGTTAAAAGTTAAATATATAGTGTATGTGTACTGAATTAACACATTGCTAAAAGTATGAACATATATTTGGGTTAATATAATGGAACATTTTACCAACAATTTTCAGAAGGGCCACAGTTTGCGTGAGAAGCTTGCTGAAATGGAAACCTTCAGAGATATACTGTGCAGACAAGTTGATACATTACAGAAATATTTTGATGCCTGTGCTGATGCTGTCTCCAAGGATGAACTTCAGAGAGATAAAGGTATTAATTTAAATATCTTTAAACTAAGTGATTCTGTCATTGTAAAATGGTATATATTGCAAATTAACATTTATTTTAGGTGGTGTAGTATGATCTTATAAAACTATGGTGACTATAAGGGGGCTGGGTGTTGTCCCTGTTGGTCTGCTGCATGTTCCATACAAAGCCTTGGTTGCTGATTGGAATAAGGCAGCTCATACCCATGTGATGTGACTCCTTAGGGATCTTGTCACTCCCCGTGTTTATGAAAGAGCTGATGGAATGTGATGTGTCTAGAGCATCACTAGTGCTCAGTAAAGGACAAACTCACCTGAACGTAAGTTAGAGTCGTTATTAAGACTTGCATTCAGATAGTGAAGCTCCACTACTTTTCTGCCCTTATTGTCATACCTTAACCCTGTTTCAGGTGACATAAGCCCACCTGGATAAGGGAGGTGTGGAGATCCCCTTACAAGGGTGTGCAGGGGAATGTATGTAGCATCTATCCGATAAAGTGACTGGAATTTGTTCCCAGTTGGATGCTGGCCAGAAGAGATGCCTAGAGAAGATCCTTGCTGGTTGTCTGGGAATGATTTGAATCTGTTGGATCTGAGGAAGTGCACAGAATCCTCAGGACTGTGAGCTTGGCCACGTGATTTTTTTTAGATGTATGCCTCTCAAGTGTTTTTAATGTGACCCACAGGGTGTCATGTGAGTGGATTCTGATGGTGGCTATTTGTTCTTTGAGTGAAGGGGTTGTTCCTTTGCCTCTTAAAGGGGTGGTTGTTTGTTCCCTCCTCAAGAAGCCATAGCTGGATCCCACCATATTAGACCATTTTTTCCAATGACTCTTCTCCCTTTCTGGGGAAGGTGATAAAAAAGATAGTTACATAATAGCTTCAGAGGTCTGGATCCTTTTCAACCAGGATTCGGACCCGGGTATGGGATGGAAATGGCATTGATTCTGCTTTTGGATGACCTCTGCCATGGGTGGGATGGGGTAGTGTATCCATCCTTCCCCTACTTGACTTACCAGCAGCTTTTGTTACCATTAAGTATAATGTCCTGGATCAGCTCAGAGGGGTTGGATGGCATGGTGTTGTGGTGATTTGCCTTCTTCCTTCAAGGTCAATTCCTGTCTGCGATGATTGGGAAGGAGAGGCTTTTATTTTCAGTTGGAAATTGAAAGCATGTAGCAACTAAAGTCATGAAATGAAATCAACATACTAATAAGGGATATGATTAAAGATCCCTTAGCTTTATTGCTTAACTGGTGTTTCACAGTAGCACTCATCTCTCCCCACCTATCCATTAGTAAACTGAATTATAACTAATTTCTGCTAGCATTTGAATTTTTAATAATATTAATTTCCTATTTGATGTATATAAAAAGTATACAGGTATGAATATCTAGTAAGATGCATAGAATTTATATTTTGCTTGGATATTGATTTAATAAAATGTTTCCATGGGTTACTAATACAGAAGTGTTAGCTAGCTGACACAACCTTTGACTTAAAATTATTTCTCTGCTATCTTCTGATTTGATGCTATGCACATTTGTAATTGATCTGTTTCTTTGTTGTAGTGGTAGAAGATGATGAAGATGATTTTCCTACAACACGTTCAGATGGGGAGTTTTTGCATAATACTAATGGAAGTAAAGAAAAATGTAGGTATACTTAAGTACATTATAATATAAATGCTCTGGTGAAATAACAATCCTTTGAGTACTTCATGAGTACATCATGAAGTGATTCAGTATCATATGCTAAACATGCCAACAAACATAGAATTATATATATTTTAATTAAATATGTATTTTATTTTAAATGCTTAGAAGATATGCAATATACTAATTTACATTTTATAATTTAAAGATTGTATTTAAAATTATAAAGCTTTAAAAGAAATTAACATTTCTTTAGAGACTTGCAACCCTAACCCTATCTAATGTTTTTCAAATAATTGTTATTGAACTTGATAGATTTACTCATGTAAATGGACATAGGATCAAACCATACATTACATTTAACTAATAGTTACTGAAAGTATTTAGCAATTTTATAAAACCAATTAATAACCCTGTTCTTACTTGCTAATTTCAGGATGGTTTTATTCATTTTTCCCCCGTTACATTTAGGTAAGTTTAGGAATGAATCTGTTTAAGAAAAACCCTAAGTATTAATTCTATTCAAGGCAGCTTATAACACTTTTAAAATTTGATTTCAATTATTTTGATACTCCCATAGATAAAACAATAGAACTTAAGGCTTGGCAGTCTGTGTTGGAACAGAAGTAGAATGCTTGACAGCAGTAACTACATTGTGTGTATATTCAGAATCATTTCTTATTGGTGATGCCTTAGCTATTTCTTCTGTTGATAAGTGTTCATCTGACGTATTGTCACTCATGCTATGCTTACATCATATTAGATTATTGTAATGTGGTTTCTACCTTGACGACTGCCTAGAAACCAGACACAAATAGCCTAGGAGGACTATGTTATTGACCAGTAACTGTTCAACGAACCTAGTTGGTTTCAGAATGCTATTCAAATATTTGCCCTTTTTTCCTCATTTCCTTATAGAGAGATGTTCTACCTATATTGGTGACACCAATTTTATGGTTACTAAATATAAAATCTTATTAGAGGTTATCTATCTTAAATGTAATATTTTTCTCACAGAACTCTTTGTCTGATATCCTTTGTCCTTCTGAGCATAAGCCAGAATTTTGTTTCAAAAAGTTTATGACTAACAAGAGACAGAAGACTGCATTTTGATACTGCTTAATTTTCAGCTTTGATTATGCTATTAAGCTAGGTAATTTCTTCTAGTTATGCTATATTTGACCTACATATATTATTATTTTATATTAACAGTCTTCAGGATAAAACTGTTTTTAATAATACCATAAGAGCATAGTACTGCCACTGTATATGGAAAACCTGCAGTATACTTCATATTTTTTATGTATTTATTATTCTACTTTCTTAATATGCCTTGAAGTTTAGTAGATATATTCTTTGCTGGCCTTCAGGAGTGTTTTAATTATATACTGCATTTTGTTTTTATTAACAAACTATTTTTTTTAACTTTTATCTTATTTCTTCTATCTTATTTGTTATGCTAAAATATTTTGTATTTCGAGTTGTAATCCAAGTTACATACTTCTATTCATTGTTATTGCCATAACAATTTACTTAAAATGAAATTTATTTTAAAATGTAGATTTCTGGTTTTTTTCTAATATAGTCAGTCATTTTTTTTCTATGTCTTTCTTTTCTTGTCACATAGGAAACTGAAAACATATGGTGGTATTAAGTTGGGATAAGCTTGATTCATTATTTAGATTATACAAACAAATGTATATTTTATTAAAAAACATCTGATAGGGTTTATAAATAGATTTTTAGGTATGCCGGTAGCATATATTGATCTTACCTGATTAAATCCCAGCTCTTAGCAAATGGAGAGGCCCAGTCTTAATATGACAACATCTAACATGATTTGAATGATACATTTTTCCATTCTTATCTATATTGATGTATTTTTGTAACATTCTACCTCGTATACTTTTAAATAGATCATTTATTCAAACAAGCTTAGCAACAGATGGCTATTGCAGTGAAATACTGAAATAAGCTGTAGCTATGGAAAATTCATCTGTTTAGGTATATTATAATCTCCTTCCATTTTTTAAGGACATTATTATCATGCCCTGGTTATTTTTCAAATGCTTTTATAGTGTATTATTAGACTCAAACGCATGATAATTATTGATTTTAAATGCTGTATCTGCTAGCTTTTAAGGTGGTTCTGTTTTAATTAAATCGCTTCACGCTGTCAAACTACAATTGTTACAAGAATATTAACACTCCTGCCACCCACACATTTTTTCAAAGCAGAGTTAAAGCACTGAGAATCAGAATACACAGGAATATAGTTGGAAGAAGGCATTTCTTCTACTGAATTTTCCCTGTATTCTCCAAATGAACTTTAATTGCCAAATGATTTTTGCTGTGCATAGGCACCATGCTACATTCCAAAAATTTTCAGGTAACATTCATTTGAGTAAGCAAGGTTTGTACTGATATATCTATAATCTGTTTTTTAGGGTTTCCACATGTTACACCCAAGGGAATAAATGGTATAGATTTTAAAGGTGAAGCTATAACTTTCAAAGCAACAACAGCTGGAATCCTTGCTACACTTTCCCATTGTATTGAATTAATGGTAAAACGTGAGGAGAGTTGGCAGAAAAGGTTGGATAAGGTAAGGCTTTTAACTTGTGCAAGGATTAAATTGTGATTTTTTTAAAAAGTCAGATGTACTGAAAATATTGACCCATATTTACATTCAGTTATATATGACAAAGACAACAGCTCTGAAAACGTCTTCATTTGCATTAACATGTTAGCAAATGCTCTACATTCCATTTTGGTTCTCCATCCACAAATCTACTTTTACTGAAATAGAATTAAAACAAGTTTCAGAAATCTTACATGGAACCAAGGGAAAATATCTGTATTTGATATGCAATTCAAACATATTGATTACTTTCATTTCTGGGTTAGATTGTGTAAGTCTGAAATGTACTTTAATATTTGTTTTTTAATTTTGGTTATAGATATTTATTCACTTGTGAGTCTAAAGAAACTTAATTCAGACAGAAACTTTTATTTCTGAAATA